GCCCCGAGAAAAAAGCGATTAATAGGCTATCGGTTGGTAGGCGTTGGCGAAAAAAGCCAATTAATAGGCGATCGGTCGGCAGGCGTTGGCGAAAAAAAGTCTATCAATAGGCTATCGGTCGGTAGGCGTTGGCGAAAAAAAGCTGATTAATAGGCGATCGGTCGGTAGGCGTTGGTGATGAAAAGCCGATTAATAGGCTATCAGTTGGTAGGCGTTGGGGATAAAAAGGCAATTAATACATTAAAGGCGGGAGTCGTAGTACTACGATTTATCTCGACTGTAGCTTAAAGGCGGGAGTCGTAGTAATACGATTTATCTCGACTGTGGCTTGCGCCACTTTACGTTTCTATTTAGTATGTTTTGTGGTTTGAAGCTGTTCGGTTGTTCAAATTCTACTTACATTAAACGAGTATTGTTGTTCATTGACAACAATACTCGTTTCAGCACTCTTTTCGAAGCTCTATTCAATTAGTGTGTCCACAGAAATAAACGATAAGTGCTATCTTCACAAAATTTTACTTGTGTACTACTCTAGGCCTAATTAGACTGCCTACTTTTTTTTTTTTTTTTTTTTTTTTTAAATCGAAACTCCGACTTTAAAAGACAGCGTGCCGGAAAGGTTTAAAAGGTAGTGGTTCAATTGCTGTCAATAAAAGGTTTTTGCTGAATTTCTTCTATTTTTATTGGTTTTTTTTTAAAAAACTCCGTTTTTTTGTATCACCCTGTAGTATATATAAATGCATTCAATGCAAGAAATGTCGTGTGAAGCCCGTGATTCAGATTTCTGCACCACTCCAGTTGATAGAATTGTAAGAAGAATATCAGTTTCATTCCAAGAACTGGATGTTATATTGATCGAGACAAAAGCATTTATCAACTTATGCTTTCAGTGATCCAAACGAACCAGAACCGTTTACATCTGCCCCTGTCTTAATTGGATGGCGATTACTGACATCTGAAATAAAGAGATTCCTTCCTTTGAATCCTAACTTCTGAAAATGAGAAGATACAAAGAGGATTTACTTAATCGAATATAAAAAGGATGAAGATCATCCTATTTTCTTGAACTTAGAACATCTCATCAATTCCCGACTAGTCAACCGGCCCATGGAACTTCGAGAAAATATCATGGATTTGATAAACGATGATGAAGCACCCAGACTTTCTCGTCGAAAAGCATTCCGACAAACCTGCATTCTGAACGTGATGGCTATATCCGTATATGCACTGAAAGATTCTCGCATAGAACTCTCGTTAGGAGGCTTGTGCAACTGTTATCTCTTCTAGAACTCTCACCCAACGCTTAAGGAACTTTTCGTTTCCTGACGAATCGGCCAGGGAGAATGCTAAGAACTCTAGTGTATAGATGGCACTAGGTTTGTTTTTTTATTTGACTACGGCAAAGTACACGAGGGCTATCTGCTTATGAGGAGGAGGACAACCGTAACTTTTCTCATACCACGAACTATGAACTACTTCATACTGTGCAATGTGTGACAGATGCACCAGTTCTACGTACTCCAACACTATGTACCATGAAATGAATTCATAAATTGTATGCTGTATTATGACTGCACTATGAATGATAACTTATAAACTGTAAATCGTGTAACAAAAAAACCAACCAATCAACGAACCACATACCATAAACACTCCCCCCCACTAACAAAGCTCCAAACCGAAACACAAAAGAAATATGTATATACATCTGTAAATAACTTATTGTAATTATTGTATCTATCCATCCAACTGCAAAGTACCCGTATAAAGTATATCTGAGACAATATTGTCTGCAATGCAAATTATGCACCATTAATATATAACAGTGTATTATGAATACTGCTTGCTACAATGTAAACTAATTCCCGAGCATGGTGTTAGCGTGCCCGGTCAGGGTACACTTCTATAGATGGCTAGTGCAGTGGGGCGATACCAGTTTTGCCCATGGCGATGTTTTGGTGCCTCCTGTACTTCTTTCTGTCTGTCTGCTTATGAGGAAGGATGCCTTCGTGGAAGAACCGCTTGGAAGCTAATATGACAGCTCTGATCTTTTTTTGATTTTCTGTTAGTGTTTTGGTATTTATGAAATTAACCGTGCAGTTAATGAAGTATGTAATTTGTTTCCATTTATACTCCAAATAAAATAAAGGCTTAATGTCTCCAAATAAAGGTTTAATGTAAAAATCATGATAATTTATTTACTTTAAATATCTTAGCATGTCATCAAGAACCAGGTAAGAACGTTTAGTTTTATTTAAAGTGACTGATGATTGAACTTTTGTTTTACCACCATAAATTTCATGGATCTGATCAGGCTCATGTTCTGGCAAAAGGACTAATCAGGGGCGGTGGTAGGTATTTTGCTGTCCGGTGCGATCTCTGAGGTTCCTTAATTTTGCTGCCCGGCACCTGCTCAAATTCCAAAAGTTTTGTGCCTCTAAATTCTGCTGCCTCTAGCACCTGTCTATGGCGCCGCCCCTGGGATTAATTAGTGTAGTTAACATTTCGCTGAGGGTCATAGAGAAAATTCAGTCTAAAACTGATCAACAGTTTTTCATAGTAGAGCATTCATATGAAGGCTTTGTAAGACACATGTGGCATAAGCCGAACTTCGTTGCAAGGCAACCGTACCTTACTGTGTCACAAAAAGTAAGAATTTTATCTAATTATTGTAAATGTGCAATTTTATGCACCTGTTATGAGAACCGACCAGTCACAGTGATAGGAATATTAACTGACACTAGTTCGACGATTTCACTGAGTCAGTTGCACACTCACGCATGCGTAGCTTTACCTTCCTGATTGGCTAAGGCTTAAACCTTATGTGGGAACGGCGTTAAATTATTTTTAAGTCTTACGGCTATGACAATAATGCCGTTTAGACCATCGCGTTATAGCTCCATAATTGTACAGTAAATATACAGAAGTGATAGAGCTTCACAAAGCGAAAAAGTTAGTAACGCGTTTGTCCACCTCTGGCCCTTATGCAAGCAGTTATTCGGCTTGGCATCGAGTTATAGAGGTTGCGGATGTCCTCCTGAGGAATATCCTGCCAAATTCTGTCCAACTGGCGCGTTAGATCGTCAACATTCTGAGCTGGTTGGAGAGCCCTGCCCATAATGCTCCAAACGTGCTCAGTAGGAGAGAGATCCGGCGACCTTGTAGCCAAGGTAATGTTCGGCAAGCAGTAGAAACTTGTGCAGTGTGGAAGCGGGCATTATCTTGCTGAAATGTAAACCCAGGGTGGAGTGACATGAGGGCAACACAACGGGCCTTGGTTGTCGGCCTTTCTGCCAGAAGAGAGTCAGGTTGGTATCACACCGCTGTCCGGGGCGTCTCCAGACTCGCCCTTCGCTGATCGTCGGGGCTCAGTTCAAAACGGGACACATCACTGAAAAACTATTCTACTCCAGTCAGTGACATTTCAGTGCGAATGAGCCCGACACCACTGCAAACGGGCTTGACGTTGTACAGAGGTCAATGGTAGTCGGCGCAAGGGGCGCCGTGACCTCAGCCCCCTTTCTGTGAGCCATCTATGAATGGTCCTTGCGGTCACTGAAGCACTAGTTGCACGTAAAATCGATGATAATGATGCATCTGGGGCTGTGAGTGCCGCTCTGACGATTGCTCGGTCTTCACGTTCTGTCGTTTCTCTACGCCTACCCCTTCCTTCTTGACGCTACGTGCGGCCATGGTTCACCTATTCCTACCAACATCGTCTAATAGTGGCATCGCTCCTGCTCAAATGTCGAGTTATTCGCCGATAAGACCAACCGGCTTCTTTGAGCCCACTACACGACCTCTCTCAAATTCTGACATCTGCGCATATAGTTCGCGCACCTGTATGCGAGGGCATAGTTACTGTCTACCAGAGTACACGGAATGAAATTTGTGAAGAATTTATGACCTAGAATCGTAATTTCTCCTCTTAACCACTTGCGCTGAAAAGACGTGCCACGCACGTCGAAATGCTTTTCTCTCAAACCGCGAGCGATGTGAACACCACGTCGATAGGCATTTATCGCAAAAATGAAAATAACTTGGTGCACACATCGCCTAACAACGAGATTGTTTATTTCTCGAGTTACAGCTCTGGATTGCACCCGCAGACGCGGAGCGGCGTAAATGAGACACTTTACCGCTTGTTATATTGTAGCGCACGACACCGCAACCGTGAAGTTTAGTCGTAGCGCAAGTGATTAAATATCCTGCCAGTTGTGCAGATCAGATGAGCTGTAGCGAACACCGTTCATTCATTGGTAGTCAAAATGTAAAATTTTGCATTTTCCGTCGAAACCTGTATGAATATGAATTTGTGTCCAATTTGCTTCATATCTTCTCGGTGCGTCGTGGTGGGTCTTCTTTTTTTTTTTTTTTTTTTTTTTTTTTTTTTTTGTCTCAAAGTGTATATTCGCATTTAAATTTAATCTCATAACGCAGTTAATCTAAAGAGTCTCCTAAAAATGCTACACGCTTTATTTCATTAAATACTAACCCTAGATATGTAACTACCGTTATAATGTTTCTTGAAATATAAGTTTAGAATTTTCTGGAAATAGTTTTAATGCTATAGATAAGAAGATCCGGAATGTATAAAATATAATTCTTTATTTGTTTCCTTTACAGTAAAAACTCTAATTAGTAAAATATTCATTATAACTTAAAAATAATGTACTCAAAATTTCCCCGGCTTTACGTTCAAAACTATACTATACACAAACAGAGTTACTTTTCAATGATTATTATAGACTAAAAATTAAGAATTTTTTTACCAAATTTCGAAAGCAATTTACAAAATAAAAGTTGCTCGTTTTGGCCTTTAATTACAAATTAGATTTCACAATATCTGTTATTAAATTTGCAGCTAACTGTATGAAAATATTAATTACCGAACGGAAATAAAAACTGTTAACCATATTGAATATCTTATCTATATTCAATATAGAGAAGATGCCGTCAATGTGAATACTTTCTTATAAATAACTAAAACAAGTTATTACCTCCAAGTGAAGCTCTTTGGCTAGCTGTTCAAAACGTGTTTCAGCTGTCCTGTTGGTTTTTCTGTCTAGGAACATAATGCCAGTCGCGTATTGGCCTTTGGGAGGAAGTGTAATACCAAGTTCTTCCCTAAAAAAATAAAAATTTTCACTTTAAGAAACTTAAACGCATCTGAAAAAGGCACCTCATGATGTTTGTTTACATAAATTTTGTTGGCGTAGTAGCAAAACTTATTAGAAATGTTCCTACAAAATAAAACATTTTCGAATAATTGAATCATAATATGCATAGCAGCATCAAAATTATCAGCTAGACGTCAGAAGACTGTTTAATGAATACTCACCACTAAGTCTTAAAATATTGCAAATCAGGAGAAGGCTTCGTAAAGAACCTTTTATTAACTCAAATAAAGTTCACAGTCGTAAGAGCAAGTTGGTAAGCACAAAAGTTTTGTAAGCGCAAGTTGGTGCCAACAAATAAAGTTGGCGCTTACGAAAGCCAACATTTTTGGCTTAACTCAAAATGTAATGAATAACTTCAGATAAAATAGCCTAATGGCTTCACAGGTTAATTAATCATCGCGCAAGCTGGTTGGCTGACTTTTAATGGCACAAAACCTTGAAGGTTATTATGAGCCAGACGAATGGTGAATAAAATCCAAAATTTACAAATTTTACAATTACAATTACAAACACTCTGTATCAAATGAATTGTTGAAATGAACCTGTAATGCTGATAAAGGCATGGAGAAATGCTCTAGCAATAGGTAGAGCTGGATAAAAGGAAAAAACTTCAAATCATATGGTAAAAAGAGATTCCTTTTAAACAATTCGTAGGCGAGTCAACAGTATATCCTCCTTTCGATTCTCTCTCCACTCCAAATTGTGTTTTACCTGCCTTAATTTGTTAAATGTCTGGCATTTCCAGAGTTCTTGCCACCTGGAAAAGATTTTTGTTCTGATGTAATACCGTATGTCTGTAAAAGGAACATTATTTTCAGAGGTAATATCATCAGATTTTGCTGCGACATCGGCGAGTTCATTGCCTTTGATGCCAGCATGTCCAGGCACCAGCAGTACGCAACAGAATAACCTAAGTTTCTCAAACGGAGGTGTGCCTTTAAAATTTCTAAGACCAAAGGGTGGCTAGTATTTGTATTTATTGATTCAAGGGTACTTAGAGCAGCGGTGCCCAACCTTGTGCTAGCCGATCGTTTTATATGTGCTCGTCAGCCCGATTAAGTACTATAAAGAAAAAATATTTTAAAAATAACTATTCATTTATATTTCTTAATTGTTAAAATATGGTAAGTATTTAGAGTCATAAGAGATATCTTGCAAGACGTTATAAAATAATTGATTGCTGACTGATGAACTTTGATAGCGAACATGGAATCTTATTGCTTCATTCCTATGCTAGATGACTCAGCAGAGGAAAAGTACTTGTACGATTTGTAGAACTTCTATCGCCAATAAAGCAGTTTTGGGAATCTGGAAACGAATGTGTAAAGAATTGGACGATAATAATTGATCATCCGATCTGTTTTTCCCACGGATACAACAGCTAAACTGAACAAACTGAACGAAGATCTCCAGGAGGAAAAAAACCTTTTTCAGTTGGCTGGGACTGTAACTGCTTTTCAGACATAGTTAAATTTGTGGATAAATCAGATGAAAGAAAATAATTTCACCCATTTTCAGAATTTATCGAGCCATATTAATAACCACAAGGCAATTGAAACAGAGAAATACTCGGAAAACCTAAATGCACTGAAAAATAATTTCGAACTCCGCTTCTCTGATATTAATAAAGTTCAACCAATATTATTAGTCATCTCAAACCCATTTGCCGAAATTAATATTTCAAATATATCAGATAAGATTGGAAATATGTTTAACAAAAATGCTGATATTTTGGAAATATGCTCTCGATAGGCCAAAACGTGCTCGCGATAGGACAAAGGTTGGACACCACTGATTTAGAGAGTCAGAATAGATGATGAACTTTCTGCTATTCTGCTTAGAGATAAAGATTAAGGAATTCAAAATGGCAAACGTTTCTGCAGTAAAGACAGATGCAGCATTATGAAGTTTAAAGACTTTATCACAAACAAAAGCTGCCCCGACACGATCATGATTCTTCGAGTCATCAGTAAAAGTTGCTTTATAGTTAGAATGACTGCTTCTTTGTTCTAGGAAAATCGCGCAAGCTGGCTCTGACTCGAAAGATCGGCGTAAACAAGCGTAATAGCAAGAGCAGTTCAATGCCACATAAATTTAATTGCTAGAAAATCAAAGATAGCAGCGTAGCTTTCAGGCAGGCAGGACGCGCTCTAATTTCACCTTTCAAAACCTTCCCTTAAATATTAACATCTTTCTACCTCATTTGAATACACACGCTAGACGATTTGCATTCTGGGAAGAAAGTGTGAGTTGAAAGCCCTTCCCTTAAATACTAACATCTTTCTACCTCATTTGAATACACACGCTAGACGATTTGCATTCTGGGAAGAAAGTGTGAGTTGAAAGCCCTTCCCTTAAATACTAACATCTTTCTACCTCATTTGAATACACACGCTAGACGATTTGCATTCTGGGAAGAAAGTGTGAGTTGAAAGCAAGAGCGATAGTAAAGTCACTTAAACACAAAATAACTGTTAAGTAAGTTAAATAATCCCCCCTCCCCAATACACGCTGAACTCATTTTAGATTTTAAAAAGAACTCGAATAAATAAAGAATAATAGCAGAGAACCCGGAGAGAAATGCATTTTCAATTAAAATGCTGAAAAACAAGTGATGACCACGCAGCTTATAAACTGTACACATCACATATACCGAAATGCAATAAAATAAACTAATTTTTTTTTTTTAAAAAAGAAAAAGATATTTTCTGTCAGGACTGTTGAAGTATTAAATTTATTCAAAGTAAATTTCAGCATTTCTGGTTCCATCAATAATGATTTTTTTTAGGCAGCTTGGCTGCTTCTGTACAATCTGTAAAACAATATTTGTCATCTTAGCAATTCTGACTTCTTGGGGATGTGCACTATCAGCTCTATGTAATTTCATATTCCACGTAAGAAATGAAAAACTTCACGTTAGGTAATTTGCGACACAGAACTATAGATAAAAACCGCTTAGGAGCAGAATTTTATAGTTTTTATTATTATTATTATTATCAGCGTGCAAAATGTTAAAACAGGCATAAGTGTGCAAAATGTTAAAACTTATGAGTAAACTTCGGGCATAATATAAATGTTATAATCTTTCATGAGTAATTCATTCAATGGTTAATATAGCACTCAAACAGCTGAATTTGATATTTTAAAAAATTGCACACAAAATTTGCAAAAATCAAGATAAAATTGGGTTGTAATTCTCTATCTTCACAGCTTAAATTTTTAGATACGGAAAACAAATATTTGATATGAGTATACAGTTCTGGTACCACTCACAGCCAGCCAATTCACAAAAGCAATAATGTATGTTCTATCACATTAAGTGAAAAGAAAGGATCAAAAGCATGTAAATATCCATTTGAATCAATGTAAAAAAAAAAAAAAAAAAAAAAAAAAAAAAAAAAAAAAAGCTTAAAAATAAAGGCATTCGTTTCACACATATATGAAAAAAATATATAATTTTTATTTAAAAAACTTAGAAATGTTTGCGAAGATAAAAGATAGTTTAGGTAAGAAATATCCAACAGTTTTTTTTAATAGAAAGGAACTTACTTTAGCACCTGTGAATAGAAGGAATGGGGTATGGCAGCCATAACTCCTGCCCCATCCCCCGTACTATTGTCACAGGCACAGGCACCGCGATGCTCCATGCGTTTAGAAATAGTTGCCGCATCGACTATTAGCTGAAAGGAAATATTTTTATTTTAGTATTATAGACACATACCTAACCACACTTTTCAGTATAATTAATAATATTTCAGGAAATTCAAATTAAACATTTAATTTTTAACTTCTTTTTAAACAGACATAACTCGCGGCCCACAACAAATATTTTTGCGGCCCGCCCAATATATCGGCAAATAATAATATATAATAATAAAATAACATATCGACGAAGAAAAAAATAAAATGTTTACTGCCAAGTAATTAGCAGTAAACATTCGAGATTCAATGCAACTCAAATTTGAAAGCAAAATTCACTGAAGTGGGCGTGCCTGAATTTTACAAATATTTACCAGCCAGGTTTGAAAATACTCGAAAATTCGCATATGAAATTATTTCCATGTTTGGTAGCACTTATCGGTGCGAGCAGTTATTTTCAGTCATGAAAGGTAATAAGTCTCCTATTAGAAACCGTATTAATGACGCTCAACTTGGGGTCAGCGTTGAAAGTTATCACTCTGCAAACAAAATTTCTCCCGAAATAGGAAAGATAATAGCAGAGAAGAGATGTCAAGTATCAGGACGTAAACATTAAATTTTTCTTGTTCTTTCTATATAAATATATATATATATATATATATGTTTATTATTGTATTATTCGAAATAAATATACTTTTCTATGAATATTGATTTTTTTTTTTTTTTTTTTTTTTTTTTTTTTTTTTCCGGCCCGCCTAAAGTTAAACCTTGTTTGTTTGGCCCAAGTGTACCTATGAGTTTGACATCCCTGTTCTACGGTGTCATTTCATTTGATAGCCAGATACCCAGGGCCGAATTAAGGAGGGCCCTAAGCACTTTCGGCCCCCTCATATATGTTTAAACGAGCGTTTTCTTCATTCCTTCTCTTTCTCTTGGTTTAGGTTTAATTGCATTATGCATTCAAAGGTAAAAACAGTAATTAGAAATTTTTTGGTGTCATGTTTCCTGAACACATAAGGATTTTTGCGGTGGCCGCCTTTCTTTGACGTCCTAAGCATATGCTTATATTGATTAATATTTATTCTATGACCCACACCCACAGTGTCTCCGCGCTTCCGTGGATGTCTTTTTCAATATGATCAAGTACATGGCATGGATGCATCTCTATTGATTGCTTTCTTGCTTTTCAAACACTTCCATGACCAGTACAACCACCGGATATCTCTCTCTTTCTTAGAGAGCACATTTAGAGAGCTAATGGGAAGGCTTCTTTCATCATCTCACAAATCTGGGAATAAACCTGACAACTGAAGACAATTTGGCAAAAAAACCTGAGAACACCGTCAATTTTACGCATCAGTGACACTATATGTCAGCTTGCATCCAAATCTGAAATAAATCAACACTTTACTGACTTGCTTGCTTTCTGAAGCTCTTTCTTCTCGTTAAATCATCTTACGGAGTATTACAGTTTTGCCCGTAATGGTCCCACGACAAAAGTTTCTCCCTACTTGTAGGTCATAATCTTTTTGAATAAGCAAATAACAATACACTTTTGTTTTAAATTTGAAGGGATTTATTAATTTAGTATTGTACCTGGAACAGATGTATTTTGAGCAGACCGTTTTCTGAATACTTATGAACAAATAATGCATTTGTAATCAGAATTATGGAAAATAATGAAGATATATTTTGTAATATCAGTCATAACATAAATAAAATTATCAACTCGAATGAAAAAATGAAACAAAAAAGTAAGTTGAAAGAAAAGTTGCATTGTTTACCACAATTAAATTTTGAAAATGGAAAGGTTATCCATCTACAAACAGTGAAAGAAGATCATCCATGAGATGGCAAGAGAGTTATTTCATGAAGACTTAAATTTCCCCTCGCCAGTTACACAGCTAAATATGAATTTCAAATTGAACAAATTTTATCAGAGCATCTAATTAAACTGAGAAATGTATTTAAATTAGTATCTTATGTCTTAAGAGATTCGTATTTTACAATGCAAGCATAACAAATAACTATAACTAACCGATGAAATAAAGAAATTATTCTCTTTTCAGGTGCAGTCTGAACTAAATCAATTGGTCTGCGAAAAATATTGTTACGTTAATTTTCTTCTTTTCACGTTCGTAGGTACGGGTTCGTGCGGATTTGGAGTGAATAACGATAATAGCACTTGATGATGTATCAAAACACACTTTATTTAGCCAATATTAATCAGGACAGCTCCAAAATCACGTTTACAGTCGTCGAAGAGCTACTTTAAACACGCTGACACAATCAGCGACACAGCCTTCATAATATCAGGCTATAACAGTGAAGACAGCTTCACTGCAAAGCACCAGAGTACAGCTCCAGACTCTGCTCGGTCGTTCTCGGAACTCCACGTACTCTCGAGACTCTCCACTCTACAACTCGCGATGCGCTCGACGATACACTAGAGTACAGCTCCCGACTCCTCGGTTCAGTCGTTCTCAGAGCTCATCACACTCTCCCGATGATGCACTAACCGCGATACACTGAGAGACGCTTGTGATGCAGTCGACGACCAACTCGGCACTCACTGACTGACTATTAACTCGATGGACTCTACACACGGACTAACTAACTCAGCAGGGTTTATATAGCTTTCGGCTTGTGTTCGAGAACATTCTGGGCTAAGCCAGTAAGAATTGGTCCCAGAAGGTTCTCCCTCCGTCTATGGCATATCGCCAATTTTGTCGCCAAATAGGCGATTTCTCACCAAATATGGCAACCCTGCCTTCCCTTGCCATTTTCTGGCAATCCTTAAATCTGCTTTGCGAGGAAGTTATTCCACCGCGCCTGGACATTTCGCAACAATATTTTAGCAATTATTAATCGCTCTTCAAGGGTGCTGTTATGGAATAAATTAATTTCATATTTGAGTTAATTTCAAATAAAAATTCTAATTAGGCAGATGAATTCTTCTATTCTTTAATATTCAGTTTCTATTCTCTAATTACAAAACTTCGTTCTTAATTACGAGCTGAGAAATAGGATTAAATTTTTAATGAACGCACTTAAAAAGCTTAGTTATAAGGATTTTTCTGTCTCACTTGAAGGGATTTCTGTTGTACGTATTAATTGCAGCTTTTCAAATAGGAAGAAAATGCTTTTAGCTTCATGATTAATTAACAGACAGGGCAATTAAATGCAAGATCATATTCCCTTCTCTTTTATTTTCTTAAAGCGAGTCGGGAATTTCCCAAATTTCCAGCTTAAATTATACGCCATCCAGCTGAAACGAATTTAGTTCAGTAGTTTAGACGACAGAGCACTATGGCCACATATTATATATTTAAAATAAATGTACAATTATTTTTTTTTAATAAATGTTTTTTCACTGGTGTATCACGACCGCTCTCACTCTCGCTTTTTTTACTTTCATGGCCATCTTAATTTAGCTTAGAAAAGAACTTAACGACTCAGCATCCAAAAAAATTTATTCTCAAGAGTCTGACGAACGGTCTTATAATGAAAAAGCTGTAAGCGCCTATTTGATAAAGCGCAGAATAGTTAATTGATTTATTTGTAACAGCATTTAAATGAAAAGAATTGTTAAACATTACTTTTGTTATTAATATACATACTTTTGTTATAATATAAAGTAATATAAACATTACTTTTGTTATTAATATATATTTGTTATAATACAATAACAAATATTTGTTATTATATTTGTTATTAATATTAATATACCTTGATGCTAAATATGTTATCTGCCTTTTAGGACAGATATTTCAAAATCATTAAAAGAATCCAATATAATAGGGGGACCGAAAAGTAATGTCGTTTCTGCGCATGTCGACAACATCATGCTAAGGGCAGAAAAAGGAAGCAAATCAATGTTAAACACTTTTAACCAACCTTGGTCGACCATCCAAGAACATTTAAAGCAGAATGGAAAATAAGCAAAGCAGGTGTTTGAATCCCCCATAATCTGTCCGAAAAGCACAAAGCCAACCTATCCATCACAGCAACGTATTTCTTCAACGGCACCATACAGAACCGTTTTTTGATCGTTTGATTAGTGGAGACAAAAAAATAAGTCCTATATGATAATCCAAAACTCAAAATGCAGTTTTAATAGGGGTTACAAAGGGTTTACATCCCGAAAAGGCGCTTCTGGATGTTTGATGGAGTATTCGCGGAATTGTTCATTTTGAATTGTTGAAACCTGGACAGATTGTTAATGCAGACCTTTATTGTGAATAATTGGATGGAGTGAACCAATCTTTAATCGAAAAATACTAATTGTCAACAGAAAAGGCGTCATTCTGCAACACGACAATGCAAGACCGCACTGTGCAAGACGAACACTGGAAAAAATTAATGAATTGGGGTGGGAGGTACTGCCATATTCAACCACCACACTCGGCCGACATGGCAACATTGGATTTCCATTTACTCGGATCCCTACAACACTTTCTTAGTGGCAAGAAATTTGAAAATTCGGATGATATCCAAAATGTCCTCTCGAGATATTTTACTCAAAAATCAACTGATTTTTATCGGTCCGGGATTGAAAATCTGCACACTAGATGGCAAAAAGTCGTTCATAACGAGGGTGATTATATTATTGATTAAAAATAAAAACTTGTTAAAAATGTATTCGTTTGAATTTAATGTAAGAAAGAGACACTACTTTCCGGTCCCTCTATTATTTCTAGCATTTTAGTACAAAAAGGTGACACAGCCATTCCATGATTTATGTTACACTTAATTTACGAAATTCAAGTTTTTGGAAATTTTCTGTCAAGCGATGCATATTTTAAAAATGTTTTGGAAATATATCTTAAATCTTATGTACGTATATAAATATATATTAACTCTTATTTAAATTAGACGACAAATATTCTGCATAGAAAGTAATGAGATCTCAAATGATAGTATTACTCATATTAGTACCATTAGAAGCATTAACAACAGAACGAACATGATGGCGGGCTAAAGGTGTTCAGCACCATTATATGCTAGGCCATGAACACCTACACTTGAATACTTGGTTAAT